CTTCTTTAAGGCAAATGTACATTCAGTAAAAAGACAGGGTCTTCCGGGGACCAGAAGCTTTTAGCCATATGTAAGGTTGTATTTATGGAGACAATCAGTGCCCATGACTCTTCTTTTATAGACCGTGATTAAATAGATGCTGTCGGTTCTTAACAATTAGCAATTAAGCCAAACAAAACAGAGAGATGGCTGACTTACCCCTCAGCACTGATTTGAGGTTGAGCTTGGCTTGGCGGTGCAGGTCCTCAACACAGGGGGGTCTCGTGGTGGGAAGGAAAACATTCTCCTGCTGATGCCATGGTGCTGTGTAGTGGACAGTCCATCGACTCTCCTCATCTAGGTTGGAAACCGCTACAGAGAAAAAGAACAGATAGGCATGTCAGCTGTTGACCCTGAATTTGTTACATTAAGATAAGGCCTCAGTCACCAGGCACGGTAGCTCATGCCTTGAGTCTCAACCGCTGGGGAAGCTGAGGCAGGAGGACTGCCAAAAGTTCGACACCAGTCTGAATTACATAGTGGGTTCCAGGCCAGCCTGGAGTATTCTGAGTGAGACCCTGTTTCAAAACCACCAAGAGAAAGATCAAACTGTGGCATTTAGCACACCCACAGGTAAGAACCTGTCAGGAACAGGGGAACTAACTCTAGTGGGATTTCATCTCAGGCCCCAGTGGTCATGTCAATCTACTGGGCTGCATCTGTAAAGAAAAAGGGTCCACTGTCCATCTCCCACACAGTATGTCCATAGACATGTTTGCTCAGCTCCCTGCTTCCCAAAACCATAGCTCCTCCTCTAAATCCTGTGTAAGAAGAATGACGGACAAAATTGACAGGGAGCTCCCATTCCTCCTTACCCAGACACCACAAACCCAAGTTTTCCAACTGTACAATGATGCTGTAACATTAAACAAACCAGAAACAAGTTCCCCACATGAGGTTGGGACCAAACATCTTTCTTCTACTGCAAAACTTAAAAACACCACTGTTACAAAGCACAGGTAAAAAATGTTAAACTTAGTATATTCAGTTTGAACACCATCTAAACTATAAAATTCTCTCACATATGCTTTCATGGGATATTTCCATAGTAATTTTTTAAATGTCCAACGCAACTGACTTTATCCAACACAAACCAATTCAATTAAATTTTTTTCCAATACAAAACAAGCCCAAAGCCTTGGTGGGAAGCTGAGCCTAAAATGAACCACTAAGATAATTTTCTTGCACTCCTACTGGGGCTTGAGATCTCCTTTTGTTCCGTATTTCCCGCAACACAAGCTATGCTGGAGTATTAGGGGGACACATTCATCAGTGAAGCTTTAATAATGTCTACATGTCTGCTGCATACTCATGCATAGGAAAGACGAGACATATGTAAAAGGAAGCCCACGGACTAGGCATCTACCCAGGGTGGTAAAGCTAACTCATGTAGAGCCAGCAGACGTTAGGACTGTGAGTCAGAAGTAAGTCTACTCTGACCGTGCCCTACAACAGACAGTTGCTGGGAACAACAGAATGTATGCCTGGGAACTAGATCATAAAACACAGTCTCAAAGGAATATGAAAAACAAGGTGGACTAATGACTCTGTCTGAACATATTTACAGTTAACTAAACATACCCCACAGCACAGGACCTAGGACCACAGTAGAGCCTAAATGGGCTAAGGTCGCTCATGAAATAACCTGCGTGAAACAAGACTAGGGCAGAGACAAGGAATCCTGAACTATACCCATGGGAGAACTGTGCCTTCCTTAGCCTGGCTCCCACACACCTGTCACCCACCCTCCTAGTAATTTTTCCTATAGCTACCACATTATAAAAGTCTATGGACCTGAGAAGAGCTAAGGAGCTACTTTCTCCATAAATCGCTCGGTGGTAATAAACTAGACATAAAGTTAAAAACTGAAATGCTGTTTTCCACTTACAGTGTTTGACAGGGGCCATATATAAACTAGGCTCCTGCCATTTTACATATTGGATAGGGTCCTGCACGGCACATACCACCACCAGCCTTAATAAATGAAATACTAAAGTGTGGCCTTCACTCTGCTGTATGGTTCAGAGAGGGGCACAGCTCTAAGCAGCCAGAGGCCCCCTCAAAGTACACCCAGAATTCATTACAATGGTTTTTTGCTAATGCCTATTTACTTTTAAATTTTAATTGCCTTAGACAGAAAATGGAAACTTTCCCTCTTGGCTCATTGCAAATCAAATCCAAGTGATGGCATCTGAGCCCCTGTAATTGTACCATTAGCCCCGGGGCACAGACACAAACTGGCTCCTCTGAAAGAGCCCTTGCCTCTTCCTTCCCTGCTCTCCCTGCCTCCTGCCAAAGGGAGATTTGTATCGGTCCTTCCACAGACAGGCTTCAAGCTAGAGAGATGCAGAAAATGAGCCCGGAGTGCAGAGGCACCCCCTCACCCCGCCCCACCCCCAGCCACACATTTATCCGGGTCGTGTCACTGATCAAAAAGGCAACACAAAGCCACACCGAAATAAGTTAATAGAAAAAAAAATCCATGTCGCCGTAAAATTAAATTTTCACGGAAATGAAGAAGCACCAAGATTAAGGAAATTTAAACTGACAGGAAGTACACAATGGAGCCACAACACAAAAGCTCACTGCTTTACGACAGTCACTGATCCGTCTAGACAGTTTGTCCTCGGGCTCTGTAATCCATGACAGAGTGTACCAGGGGGCTTTAGAGGATCACCCCCACCACAACTATGTGACACATTACACATCGACTCCTCACCACAGCCACTCAGCCAACTGAATGCCCAGAAACCACACACTGTATATCAAGGCAAAGTCAACACAAAGACCTTCCCCTTCCTTGAAGGACTTCTTTTGAGAAGTATAAAAGAAATGAAGTCACTTAAAATCCCAAACACAAATAAATAAGACAGAATGAGGTCACATATACTGTCCAAGGCGCTGCGGTGACCTGGTACACAGTGGAAATTAATTCAAGGCTATTAAGCTCTTTCACTGTGATTTCAGCACTCAGAAAGGGACTGACTCTCCTCTCTCTCTCTCTCTCTCTCTCTCTCTCTCTCTCTCTCTCTCTCTCTCTCTCTCTCTCTCTCTCTCTCTCTCTCTCTCTCTCTCTCTCTCTCTCTCTCTCTCTCTCTCTCTCTCTCTCTCTCTCTCTCTCTCTCTCTCTCTCTCTCTCTCTCTCTCTCTCTCTCTCTCTCTCTCTCTCTCTCTCTCTCTCTCTCTCTCTCTCTCTTTCTCTCTCTCTCTCTCTCTCTCTCTCTCTCTCTCTCTCTCTCTCTCTCTCTCTCTCTCTCTCTCCCCCCAGAACTTACTTTTCTTCTTGAAACGTTTAAAGAAAGATTTAATCTTTGCATTCATGAAGACCACCATTTTCTTTCTGCAGCACCTACATAGGTTCGGAATTCAAAGTCACTTTAAAAGCTGGGTCCCGTAGGTCGGTGGCAAACGGTGCTCCACCGCCCCAGATTCTAACTTTTCTCACCAGGTTGTAGTCCTCCGACATCTGTCTCCCTAAGCTGCTGTAACTATGAGGTCAAGTTTACAGTCAGGTGGTTACAAACCATTAGCAGTCCTTGAACCAGAAAAACTCCCACTGAAATCTGATCTGTAAGACTGGGAGCAGCGGTGACAACAGGAAAGAGAAAGCCAATCACAGTCTTCATTTGCATAAGCACTGTATCAGGCTCTCCGCCTGGCTGCCCATTCATTCCATTTCCTCCTCACACACCAGGAGTTTCTCCTGCCCGTCCTCATCCACAAATGGATGGCAAGTTTTACTTTCTGGAAGTCACATCACGATGAAACGCATAGGTCCTGAGTTTTCATGAGGCCACCATGTACATCCAGATCGGCTGTTTGTTTGTTTTTACAGGATCCAGTAAGTCTGAACATAACCCCATGTTGAGTCTGTGACTTTCCGGCCCACTCTGGGAGTAAGGGATGTGAATGGATACAGGGGAAATGAACCAACCTTTGTTTCCCAACCACGCCCCCAGGTTCTGCCTCCCAGACCAACAGAACTTCCATAAGCAGGGTGGCTCTAGGAAAGAAACACCAGGGAGCTTTGCGAGATGACTTAGTGGCATTTTATGCAAATAAGGGTGCCCTGTCTTCTACCCCCTGCTAGTTACTACACTCTAGCACCCGGGATTAGGGAAGTGAGATCTCATTTGCATCTGGCCGGCCCAACTCTGAAAAAAACAAACAAAAACCCCTTAGCTTCCCCACTCCAAAGCAGAAATTAGATACATTACCCGAATCACTTTAATCTCTTTTAAATGCAGTAATTATCTAATAGTCTGGTTCTAGCAACCCTGCCACAGCTTTACTGGGTAGTAGTTTTAAACAAACATTATTTGAATTACTCTTTAGCTCAAATGTGCTAAATACTGGACTGAGGAAATGTAACCGGAGGGAAATCAAGGCAACCCAATGGGAAAGAGAGAGAGATGTGAAAAACTGAAGACAAGAGATCTGGCACTGAAGGGGAGTGAGCACAGGAAAACACCTCCCATCTCACCCCCCTGCACACAGAACAGTCTGTGAAGCCCTTTAGGGGACCTCTTAGTTCATAGCTTGGGGCCAGCCTTGTAACTGAATGGAAAAATGTAATAATCCCCTAATTCAAAACATTTACTTTATAACAAAGGCTCTTAAGTCAAAGAATAGCAGTTTATAGAAGGGGCTCCCCCTAGGGAAAGCTTGGGGACCATGGCGCCTCAGTTTCTCATACTTTTTTAGCCACACTTTTTGAACAACAAAAGCAAACAAACAAAACCCAAGGAAACTACCATAGTGTCACACACAAAGAAATCCGGACGTGTGTTCTTTTGTCTTTTACATGGCTTCACTTAAAAGTCACCCAAGTGCTAGATGGCAAATGAGTAACAGCCAAGATGTTGATTGGCAACTCAAACTGCAAGCTGGCGTACACTGAGCGCAAAGTCCCTTCCCGACTCATCAGTGACTGAGACCTTGCTCTGTGCATTCCATTACAGACGGGTGGTGTGCCATAAAGAAGCAATCTTATTCACCATCTACAAGTTTTTGAAGTTCAACGTCACTTTGAAGTTCAGAGACAACTTTGCAAACCTTGAATACGCCCAGTGCTGTAGAGCACACAGCCTTTAGTGTACGCAGTAAACGGCATGCAAACCCAGGTACATTCACTAAAGAGCTAAGTACTGAGAGCCTACTATGTGCCTCTCTCAACAGGCGTGTATTATTTGACAAGAAACGAATCATATGGCAGATCAGACAGTGGTAAATTCAGTGGGCAAAAGAAAAGTTGGGCAATGTAGACAAAAGAGGATGGGAAGGGAGGCTGAAGGGTCTGGGTGGATTTTAAACAAGTCGGGGCAGGCCTCACCAAAATAATGAGGTTTAAGTACTTGAGGAGAAGATGTCAATAAGCAAAACTCAAAGGCAAATCCCACTGGCTCTCATTTTCAAAACAGGTGGGGGGGGGACAAGCCTCCAACCCCCGCCCCAAGATTAGTTAAACAAGTTCCCTTTCCCTTCTTAGGAAATGAACTGCATCAAGAATGGAGCCATTTCCTTCTCTCTCCAGGCGGCCTGGTTGGTAAGTAGTCACAGTTAGGGAAGATAAGTCCTACTTGTTACACACCAGCCAATGAATGGTAAACTCAGGGCCAAGGGGCAGGCTTCCAGTCCAGAGTCAGGGCACCTCATCCTCTTCAGGCGATAAGCCAGATAAATGATCAGGTTTGTCAACTGTTAACACACTGCTATGTTTTGGCATTACACATTTTATTGATCATTAAGTTTTATTTATTATAAGGCATCCCCCCAATAATAACGCCATCTCACCCTTTATCTCTTATGTTTCAGCCAAAGAATAGGGACGTGTTTCTATCATATAAGTTGCATGCCTTCCCGCCATGATTTATTTAAGCAAATGTCTAGTATTTTGAAGTTGCTTGGTTTAGATGTTCAACGGGAAATACATGGTTCTATGGAACGTCCTATTCTAGCTGTAGACAGCTGTTTTAACAGCAGCATCAGCAAAACAGCTGGGATATCCTAGACTCTGAATTTAGCAGAACACACAAGAATGAAGATCTCAATTCTGCAACCACCAACCTCCTGTCCCGGGACAGGAGCACTCAACGAGATATTCAGGACTTGGTTAGGTCAGTGGTAAGGTAGAGGGTTAATATCAGAACTTAAGAAATTTTCTTGATAGATTCTATGTAATAGTTCTTGGTATGTGGTAAGCATTTGTGTTTGTTAAACACACAAGCAAAAATCTCAGAATCAGCAAAGCACCCTCATGCTTAATAAGGAATTGTGCTTATTTTTGAATTTTTACTTGTGTGTATATGTGTGGTGTGTCCATGCACATGCATGTGTGTGCGTGTGCATGCATGAGTGAAGGTCACAGGACAATGTGCAGAAGTTGGTTCTCGCCTTCCACCATAGGATCCCAAGAATCAAAGTCAGATTGTCAGGCGTGGTGGCAAGCAATTACCTTTCGACTCATCTCAGAGTTAAACTGTCAGCTCCTGGAATGACTGTCCCACCCACCGTCTCTGGTTTACCCCCATACGGCACCTTTTTCTAGCTTTTGTAAATGCTAATTCTCAAAACGTTTTCAGGTTAGAGAGCTGCTTAGTCAGTCAAGTGCTTGTTGCACATGCATGAAGATGTGAGTTCAATCCCCTAGTTGCCCTGTAGAAAGGGAAAGTATAGCTGTGGACATCTATAATACCAACACTAGGGAAGCAGAGATGGAGGATCCTTGGGGCTTGCAGACCAACCAGGCTACTTCTGGTTAAGTGGGAGATCTTCTTCACAAAAACTAAGGTGAAAAGTGATTGTAGAAGACATACAACAATGGCTTCTGGCCTCCACTCACAGAACATGTACACACACACACACACAGTAAATTAAAACAAAACAAACAAACCCCTGTGCTGCAACATTGGTTGAAAAATGTTGGTTGAACTGTGCTGACTGAATGGTTAAATCACTAATCTCCAATAATCTTGGTGGCTTATTCTGATATGGAATTTTGGAATTCTGTTTTCATTACTGTGCTGTGAAATATGTATCCTTACTTATAAAGTTCCAACTTTTCTGACTTCTTTAACATTAATAAAATCTTCTTAGTAATAAATGTTACATTTAAGGATTTTTCTTAGTTGAGTGGTGGTGGCACACACCTTTCATCCCATCAGAGGCAGACAGATTTCTGTGAGTTCCAGGTCAGCCTACTCCACAGAGTGAGTCCTAGGACTACAACAGAGAAACCCCATCTTGAAAAACCGAAATAAATTTTTTCCTTTAAGCCAGATATGGTGATATATGCCTCTACTTTCTGCTACACAGGAGGCAGAGGGCTTGTGAGCCTATGAGTTCAAGTTCATTACAGCCTGGCAGAGGGCTTGTGAGCCTATGAGTTCAAGTTCATTATAGCCTGGCAGAGGGCTTGTGAGCCTATCAGTTCAAATTCAAGTTCATTACAGCCTGAGCAAAGGAGTGAGAAAACTGTTTATTAACAAAGAATTTTCTTCAGGTATCATTTTATCACTTCCACAGGTATGTGCTCCCAACATATAAGTTAAAAAACTTGACAGTGGTTTATGCTCAATTTTTTAACACTTACTAGTATCAGCTATCTGTCCAGGATAAAATTGGGTCACTCATGACTACCGAGTGCACATGCCTATAATCTCAGCATTTGTTGGGTGGAAGCAAGAGAATTGCTGAATTCAAGGTCATCCTAGGCGCCACAGGGAGACCTTGTCATAAAAGTAAAAGTCAACAGATACAGCGCAGTGGTTAGGTGTGTACCTGGAATGGCTACAAGGCCCTAGATTTGATTGACTCAGGGAAAAAAAGGTCACAGTCCAGTGGGGAAGACAGGAAGCCACACCCCAAAAGATATATAAAACGGTAGTAGCAATGAGTAAGTCCAGGAGGAGCCAGGTTGACAGGAAGTTCCTAATGAAAATGATGGAGGAGGACCCCTGGTTTATTTACAAGAGGGACAGCTGAGACACAATGAAAGGAACAGTCTCAGTGAAGACGTGAAGGGGGGGGGTACTGTCACTAGACTCAGGCCGGCATACACTATGTGCATATACTCAGGCTCTTAGGACAATGGTGAGGGAAGAGCACACAGGACAGGACAAGAGCACACCCAAAGGCCCCTGCTTGTCACCAGGGGCTAGGTGACACTTTAAGACATTAGGGAAGGCCTATGTGTGTCACGATCCATGCTACAAGGTCTTTCAGGAAGTCATTTGTGGCTAAGGTTCTTCACAATGCTAACACTTGCCAGTCCATGCAGCACATACACACTCGTCGCCCTTAATCTGAGTATCTCCAACAGGAAGTGGTCCAAACTCTCAAAGTCTTTGAGCTCCTGTATGATGTCACCAGTAGAAAATTCCACACCTGACTTCAGCATGAGTCAGCACAGTCAAAATGGGGGTGAAGAGAATGTATGACCCCAGAGGTTCCTTCAAATTGTGAACGGGGGATAGAAAGCAGAACTGAATTCTAAGTTCGGACTTGGGTACCAAGGTGTCTCGCTGTGTCCACACACATAACTGGAATCTCAAACACTTTAGCTCCATAGCACTAAGAACACTATAATGTGTTTTAAGTCACGGATACTTAGAGTTTGAATTTAAAAAACCAAACAAGTAGGGTTGGGGGCGTGAAGTCAGGGTTGGCATTTTAGACTAAGCAAGGCTGTCTGGGCTCTACCCAAAGTACCACAGTAGGTGAGGGGAGGGGACAGAGACCCCAACTATCCACCGTTTGTCCACGTCACCACCCATGCTTTCATCTTAGACACAAACTTACCATTTTGAGGGACAGAAACTACATGATGAAAGTAAAAACTAAAAGCTTCTCAACAGCAAAGCCATGGAAGCTTCCAGAACTCCCCCACAGAGCCTCTACTCCCTTCCTCCCCATTCCCATTTTCGTAAAATGTCAGCTCCTTGGTACATTAAATACAGTGGAACATTAGAAGTCTTTTCAATCCCCAAACTTTCATTGTTAAATAATACTGATTAAAAAGGTATACTTTCAAATGTTATACACAGGAGTTTCATGCAGGAATTAGACACAGTTGTCACATATTATACACTCACACACATTCAACACACACACACACACACACACAGACACACTTTGAAGTCTTCATTAATTAAAATAAAATATGTAATAGCCAAAGAGTACTGTGTTTGACTGGGTTGGAAAAGGAAGGAAAGGAAGACGTCAGGAAAAGATCATGCCAAGCGGTGGTGGTGCACGCCTTTAACCCCAGCAACTCGGGAGGCAGAGGAAGGCAAATCTCTGTGAGGCCAGCCTGGTCTACAGAGCGAGCTCCAGGATAGCTAAGGCTGTTACAGAGAAACCCTTTCATAACATACATTTCTGGTTAGAGTTATGTAGTACAAGATAAATATAACACATCTCAGGGAACTTCAGCTGCTGAAATAGAAAATTCCTCAGCCCAACCTTATCTATAAGTAGTGGTTTTATTGTTTGCTATCCTTAAGGCTATTTTTACAAAGCAAGTTTACATCTAAATTAGAAAAATAGAGACTAGAGAGATGGCTCAGTGGTTAAGAGCATTGGCTGCTCTTACAGAGGGCTGGGATTTGATTCTTCGCACCCATGTGCAGTTCACAGCTGTCTGTAACTCCAGTTCCAGGAATCTGCAACACTCTTTTGGCCTTCTAGGCACCGCATGTGTGTGTGTGTGTGTGTGTGTGTGTGTGTGTGTGTGTGTGTGTGTGTGTGTCTGTGTGTGTGTCTGTGTGTGTGTATAGGCAAGACACTAAAATACATAAAAATATCTTTTCAAAATAAATTAGAAGACTATACAACTACTTTAGATTTACTTATTATCTTTATATATAGTCAAAGTATAGCCTAAAATCCTTAGAAATATTCATCCCTTATGTTTTGGGGGCTCATTAGGCAAATCTGAAAAACACCTTACAATACAAGCCTTCTAAGTCAATTAAATTAAATTATATGTACATACTTGGCAAGAGATTGCAGAAATGCTAAAGCTAATACAATTTACTTTACACTCATACATATAAAGGGTGATATCTCAGAGATACTGTTCCCAGAATGAAAGCATGTGACAAACCTTCATGCAGAATTAGTCTAGCTGCCTCACTGTTATTTCACAAAGCACATTTAAATTCGTCAAGACTCCAGAACTGAACAGTGACATGTTCTTCTGTTTCCAAATTAATTTTTAATGATGTGCCCCTGACATATTGCAAAGGACGAATGGAAATCCCCCCTTACCAGTGTATGGTGGAGGTAGTGAGGGACAGAAAGGGAAACCTTCCGAGATGATAACACATCCGTTCTGTAGAGGGAACCTGATATGCTACCCATCCTGCCAGTTAATGTGGATGCTGAGAAACCCCCTCCACTCTGCATGTGATTCCTGGTTAATAATTTAACCGAATCCCACCGTTCCCATCTGCTCAGCCCATTTCACAATGCCTGCTATCACCGTGGCTAGTTTAGGCCAGCCACAGTATTCATGTGACAAACAACAAGCAAATGAATGGCGAGGCCGACAGAAAACATGCCTCGGGAGGAGAAAAAGGATCCCTGCACTGACACTGAACATCCAAAGCTCAGCTGGCCTGCGAGGTGCAAAGTCTCCCCAGCACAGGGTAGGGCCATCAAGGGCTATCCCGAGATGGAAGTGAAGTTAAGTGTGACACACACGAGGCAGCTTTGTAAGCAGCAAGCCTTGAGTTAATTGTGTCCCGAAGGGAAGTTTTCAGAGTGGGAAAGAGCCAGGAGGAGCCTCAGGACTCCTTGTTTCTTCAATAAGTAGCCCGCGGGCTGAACAGGGATGTTCCCAGATGAACTGAAGTTCTAGTTTACAGTGCCCTATGTGCTGCCTGTGTTAGAAAGGAATCCACTCTCATTTCATCCCTCAACATCCTTCAAAGGCTATCAGCTGCCCTAGATGCCTCACCCCCAGCCTATGACCGGGCCTTTCTCTACTCACTGTTCAAGTTATGGCCAAAGCTTAACCTTACTGAAGTGTTCCTTGATGATGCTTTAATAACTTTATCTTAAAAATATGTCATTTTATTTCAGGTACGACTTGAAGAAAAAGCAAGCTGTGGGGCTGGAGAGATGACTCAGTGGTTAGGAGCAATTCCTGTTCTCACAGAAACCCTGAGTTTGGTTCCCAGCATCCACACGATGGCTTATAAGTCCAGATCCAGGGGATCTGATGCTCTCTTCTGACCTCTGAGGGGACCATGCAGGGCATGCACGTGGTATGCACGCATGCATACAGGCAAAACACTCATACGCAGAAAATAATAAACCTAAAAATTTTTAAATAAAACTTAAAAAAAAAAAGAGCAAAGTGTGCCTTACAGAAAGAGAATGGACTGTTTCATTAACTGGAGCTCCTTACACCTGATTCAATTATTCATCACCATGTTGTGTAGCTTACACCCTTGCATCCTAGCATCAGTGATGCGTCAATTCATTCTACAAAGCCTGTATGATGTACATGCAGGCTCACTGAAAGAGAAACAATGCATGTGAGCATATTGGCATATAGATGAGCTTGATTACAAAGTTAACTCATTTTACTGTCTGAATACATATTAAGGGTCTAACTGCTCTAGTGTATCTCAAGGAAGAGAATCATTTTCAATGACTCGAAAAGTAAAACACAATTTTTATACTATCTAAATTCAACATAATTACATATTAAGAATAAAAACTAACTTAAGGGAAATGAATTTTAAAATCTGGAAAGAAAAAATGATGTCACTCTTTGGTAAAATCTTTGGGTAGCAAAAGAACATCTCAATGTGGAATAAAAAGCCAGAGTATAATAGAGTATAATAACCCTAGATATCTAACTGAGAAGCGACATGTGATTAGCTAACACTGGCTAACACTAAGCATCTGTTTGATTGATAGTGTTACCAAACCTACGAGAAATCTCTATACTTGAGAAGAATTTTCTACACGGGGGAAGAAAGAGAGGAAGGGCAAAGAAAGACCTCTTTAAAAAGATTAGCAGACACAACCAAAAAACAACAGAACAAAAACAAACAAACAAAAAACCACGGAGAGAAACGGACAAAATGAAGATGAGACACGGGAGGTTGCCACCTACAGGGGAGACCTGCACAGGGTGTGACAATGACCTTGGGCAGCCTTGGCTCCAACTTCTCTTTTATCCTCAGAAGAATTCCTTATCTTCCTCCACGAGGGAAGATCTATAATTTTTGTGGCCTTTGAGCTTGACTTTGAATAAGGTCGATACTGTACTTCCAGAGAGACTTATGGATAGTCATAAACTAAATATCACCTGCAATGAAGCCCAGCTAAAGAAGCGCTTAGTGCTTACATTATGTAAGTACTTAGCACTTACATTATTATGAAAAGGAGGTCTCTATCAGGTAGGGATACAAACGCAGGTCCTCCTAGTTGTTGTGTGACACTCAGCCACATTCCTGCCCCAACAAAGGGGTCTTTTGTTTATCTGTTTGTTTGCTTTTGTTTTCCAAATCAGGGTTTCTCAGTGTAGCTCTAGCAGTCCTAGAGTTCGTTCTAGAGACTATGCTGGCCAAGATCCACCTGCCTCTGCCTCTGGAGTGATGGGATTAACAATGTGCACTGATATACCCAGTTTTTAACAATGGGGTCTTAAGAAGAGTTTTTTATTTAAAGATGGCTCTGAAACACTATTCAAGAATAGGAAAAGCAGTTAAAGTGACCAGAGGAAAATCAAAACGTCTCGGTGACCCCATTTCTTCACAATCAATGATCAGTAAGCGTTAACACTTAAAGGACACTAGAATCGAGGGTTTGCTGATGCTTAGGATGGTATTCGGTTCTTCAAGGATGTGCAGCTAGGGCTCTGCCCCTCAACCCCAGCCCTTTACAGCTAAGACTTTCGCAAGCAATGGACGGATCTCTTAGGAACATGTGCTCTGCTGAGTTGCACAGCCACTGAGGCCTCCTTTTCTCTTTTTCTTGTGATTTCTTATATCGCCTCACATATGGTTCCGATGAACGTTGCAATTAATAAGCTGGTGTGCTCAACTGCTCTTGCAAAGAGACCTGCTGGTTAAAATGAGCTATTTTGGTTTGCTGATGAACTGACGGTAGTCACAGTTTAAAAGGTCCCACTGCATGTGGCTTTTTAGTGATGAAAAAGGTTCATCCAGCAAAGATAATGTGCATCTGATCAGCACTGAGCTTCCCAGTAGTAGTAGTATTTTCTTAAACTAGGGGAGAGATGGCAGCAAAATTCTGCAAACAGAAACCATAGCCCCTTATTACATGGGAAGCTATGGAGGCCTTGCAAAGCCTGCTGGAGGTGAGATACAGGGCAAGAGCAGCAGCCCAGCAGAAATGGACATTCGGGATCCATCAGTCAGCCAACCGAAGACTAAACGAATAAGACCTTCCCAAAGTCTCAAATTTCCACTAGTCTTTCACTCATTTTTCTTTGCAATTCGTGCCACCAACAACAAATGAGAGTGAAAAGAACAAAAACAGCCCTGAGTGGAGACGGACTGCCCAGCATCTCCGATGTGTAACTCTGCACTAAGCTTGACTTGGAGATTGCTGAGTTGACACAGCGGCGGTACCCCCACACCTGTTGGCACCCCCCTGTTAGCTGTCGGTAATACAATTAGGACAGAGATGGAAGGAGAAGGGGGAACAGGTTGATTACGGAACCCTAGCTTATGCTAGGTAATTGTCATGATTCTCAAAATGCTATGTTTGGCCCCTCCCCCTCAGTACCATGGCAGCTCAAAATGGGAAGCAAAAAAATTAAATAGATAACAAGGGTAGTTCTCCCTACTTAGCAAATAAAGTAATCATAGGCCAGATTAAGATGAGCCATCTTCTTCATGTACCTAATACTATGTTTAACTTATGGTCAAGGTGGCTAGTTCATAATTTGGATTGTTGTTTTATTAATCTCTTTCCCTTTCCTCTTTGGAGACAAGGTCTCAGTAATTAGCCTCATCTGGTCTGTAACTTAAGACATTCCCACTTCAAGCTCCCAAGCGCTGGGCTACAGAACTAAGCCACCTGCTATCTGTCTTCCATTATGAAAAAAAAAGTGGGGAATGTGGGGAGAAAAAAAAATCATCTGAAGAATTTAACCAGCAGTGGGCTGGGGAGTGGCTCTCACCACGCAAGTATAAAGTTTGGATCCCAGCACCCTTTTAGATAAAACTGGGCACAGCTGTGGATGCTATAATCCTAGCACAAGGAATTCAGAGACAAAAGGATCCCTGGACCTTGCTGGCCAGCCAGTGTAGCCAAATCAGGCCAGTGAGAGACACTAATCTCAGAAAAATCATAGGGTAGGGTCTGGATAGATAGCTCAGCAATTAAGAACAATGAATACGCTTGCTTCCAGGGAACCCTAGTTTTATTTCTAGCACCCACATTGTGGCTCATTATCATGTGCAATTCCAGTGCCAAAGAACCTAATGCCAATTCTGACCTTCGGGATGGGTACCAGGTATGCACAATGTGCGCAGACATACATTCCAGCAAAACACCTATCTACGTAAAAAACGATAATTTAAAAGTGGTCAAGAGGAGTCCTCTGCCCGATAAGCACACAAATACATAGATACAAACACACATAATTGGAAAATTTTAATAAAGAACTTAGCTAATAATTAAGACATAAACAATCAACCAGAATAAAAAGGAAAGTAAGATAAATAGCCAGTTAGGCCTGATGGTATTTGCCAGTAATCCCAGCACTTGGTAGGCAGAAGCAGGAGGCCTGACCTACACAGTGAGCTCCAGGTCAGCTGGGTTAATAGTAAGAACCTGTCCCAAGCAAACAATCCAAAGACGCGTAGGAAGAAAATAAATAAAATAGGATCTTACAGTGTCAAATAGTTCTCCCAAATCTCTCCAATACTATATAAAGTCCCTTAAAAGGGTCAGACTGAGGACTTCACTTACTAGTGGGTCTGAGACACCTATCTCTTTGAATGCAGCATGTCACAGAACTCACTACATGATAAAACACAAAGCTCTCTCTGGGTTGGATCCCCAGGACGAAACTAAAAGGAAATATTTACAAAACCATCACAATCAATTTTCATTGGCAAAGTCTCTTTAATCATCTTCTCTGGCTATCGGTGTGGTTTAACATGTTTTCCCACCCTTGCTAGATGTTTATACACAATCGCCTCAGATCTAACTGACATTTCATTATCTCAGCTGGAGAGACGCATACTCACCAATGGCACCCCACTGGATAGCGGAATCAGCCACAGACTCCGGACTGTATATTACATTCATCGTCAGAATGAAATCCAGGGCGTCTACGCAAATCACACTTCATCAGCACAGTCCATGTCAGTAGAGTATAAAAGGCACTTCCTCCCCGGGTAACCTCCTATATCTCAGCTAGAATCCCGACTCCTCCACTGGATTACTCTGCATTCTGAACTTTTAGCTTCATTGAGATGGCATTTCACACACACACACATACACGCCCTCAAAAGAAAAAAAAAGTCTCTTCACTTTGCAGCTGCTGACCGATACAAATAGCTTCTTGTATAATTGCACTTAGAATGCATCCCAGACCAGACATGTTGAATGGCAACCTGAATGCTTCATTCATAGGGACCGCCAATGTGTAGAATGTGCTAAAAACGTCACAGTGGTGAAGGGGATCATTGGGAAGTCTTGGGGCAGAAGACTGCTTTTCAGCACCCCCCTGCAAATTCTTCTCAGGTCTATGCAAATGGCGAGAGAGAGGTTTCAGAAGATTCCCACAGTGATCAAAGAAGGACTGGAAAATCCCCCTCCACCCTGTCTAGTTGGGGTCTCCCTCCCTGACCATGACCTCCATTCTCCACAACAAACGCGTACTCCTAATAAAACACGCTTGTCCTGAATCCATTCACATTGCACCATGATTATCCATCCCTGAACTTGTGCATTTTAAAGGAGCTTTGTTTTACACCCTATGCACTCTGCACAGGGTAGACCCCTTGTTTTCATCTCTTAGAGTCAAATCCGCACGGCTTGCTTTGCATGGTGCCATCTGGGTGCCAGGCCAAATGGGCAGAATGTAAAATCTGGAACCATAACAGAAATGTGTGGGGTCAGAAGGAGCCTAGGGAATTGAAAAGGCATAGTTGTCACGGTGCCAGGTTTTTCTAACTTGTACAGAGTTGTCCCTTAACGAACAGCTTGCAATGGGGAGAGGGACCATGGCTAGATAACTGAGACCTGGAAGTTTCAGACAAAGACCTGGTGGGATTTTTCTCCTGCTAGTAGGCCCTGGGGCTGTGGATCAGTCTGACAAATTCAAGATCAGACCAGGATATG